AAAGTGACATTGTGTTACTTTTTCATTTTAGACAATATTTTTTTACTTCCTAAAAAATATTTCATCTGATTTTTCAAAACATCCCTAATTTTAAGAGTATTTTTGTAAGTACCTCTAATTAATTTGAGTATTAACTAGCCTATCATAAAAAGTTGAGCCGTATGAACTACATACTAGTCGGCTCGTATTCGGGCTCGCAGGTTGGCCTGGACCAATACAAACGACTACGAATTGGCTTAGTTTGACTCGTTCTTTTTTCTGAGTCGAGTCACGGTCCACTCAAGCCGATGGGCATGTTTGCCACCATTACGTTTGATACGTATCTCCTACATTTTAAGAGTTTAGGACTGCATTGCACTTTCTTAAAAGGTTCGAGACCTCGCTCCAAATTTTTCATTAAAATATTCAAATGTTTGTATTCAACAGAAGATGGTACACTAATTTACACATCAAAACAACGTTGGATATCATTGAGTTAGGTCAACCAAATTCTTTCAAGTTTCCCCCAACTACGAAGCCCCCGACCCGACCCCACCCCCACCAACCCACCAAGGATTCTTACTGCTATTATAGGAAAGTGTTCTGTTTTAGCTAGCTTTCAAGGGATTTATTTGAACACTGCAACACAACATATGTTGTATTTAGACATACTTAATTCATGTGAACAAAATTTCGACATTGTTAGTGAGGAAATAATTCTGGAATCACTTTAAAGTATAATTAACTTTTACCCCAAAATCACAATTGCAGACACACATGGGCTATGAATGAAATATTTTCAAGCTTCATGCATTTCGGTTCACCGGTTCAACCACAGCTTTAAGAAGGAAGTAGTGCTCTACAAAGCGAAAATAGGCGCGAGGAAAAAACATTGCATACAAAGAAAGCGCGGAAAAAATAAGGTAAGCTCTATTTTGAATGACTAAAGCAGGTCTATGCGTTATAAGGCGCAAGATTTTGTACTATTTTCGTTTTTAATTTTTTAAAGGTTAAATTAATTAAATAAATAAAATGAATAATTATTAATGTTCAAAGAATAAATAAAATAATGTTCTTAATATTATTAAAATAATATAAAAAATAAGGAAACTATTGTAAATTGTAATTTTATTAATGAATGATAATTGTACCGTACAGGCCTATAAATTATTACAATTGTATCTCTATTCATTTTATATAACTATGAAATTTTGGTTCTCAATAAAAGCACACGAGTTTATTGATTTTTCTCTTTTGTTCTCCATTTTTCTTTTTAGTTTATAACACGCTATTAGCACGATTCTCTCAAAATCAAAGTGAAATAATTAGAAGGTAATAATTTTATAAGCATAATCATCCGTGTCACATGAACATTTGGTGACATGTAATTTTTTCTATATACATATGCATCAAAACGAGGGTGCTTCTTTTTTCTATATGTTTTCTCGCTTGTATGCAAATCCATAATAATTATTTCATTATTATGCATAGTGATTACTTTCCACCACATTGCATACAAGTCTTTGTTTGTGTGTCGGTATATTTAATCAACTTCAATGCATGGCTCATGCCTAAGCAAATTTTATTTGTACGATGGATTGTCAGTATGTTATATGCTTTTAATCAATGATAAACTATGTTCACATGAAATTCCCGTACAATATGCATGAGATTTGATAAGTTATCTTAAATAGTTATTTGACTTTAAAAAATTTAACATCAATTGACTATTGAAAGAAAATTATTTTTTAATGGACAAACACTAAATTAGAATTTACCATTCTTGTAAATATTTATTTGATATCTATGATTTTCTCCTAATGCATGTACGGTAATTAATTTGTATATATAGATTTATATTATGTTTGTATGGTAATTAATATTTTTAATATGATTAAATTTTTTAGATGTTCTTTTATAAGTTTTAAATTGATAATCTATCATGTTGTAGCTCCTGAAATAGCACAACATTATAATTAATAATCCAGAATAATATTACTTATAGATCTGTCTATTAAAATATTGTTGTCCCTGAAATAACACAATATTATTTACATATATGATATATTTTAATTAGATTTTTGTTACGCATTTTCCACAACGTAAATTATACCGAAGAGTTCGATGTCAAATTTTGTAATATAAGATCAAGTACAAAAAATTAAGTATTATAATTATTTTAATCTCTATTTTATCTAGAAGGTCGGATTTTTGAATCAATGTTTTTATATTATTCTAAAAATGGATGTGGTGGCAAATTCAACTATGTCAATGCAAGTTATACGAGAAAGTTATCAAAATGAGAAGGCCTAGGGAATGATTTCACCTCACTATCAACGATATTTCTCAAATTATATAACTACTTCTATCAATTTTCCTAAAG